CAATACTCTATTGCCACAATACTCAAATTACAAGCTTACCAAATTTACCCGATTCCTTAATAGAACTCAGTTGCTATGATACTAAAATAACAACCTTACCACAATTTCCCAATTCCTTAACAATACTCTATTGCTACAATACTCAAATAAAAAGCTTACCAAATTTACCTGATTCCTTAATGATTATTAAACCTGAGTATTTAAAAACTAAATATAAGTTTAAGAATTTAAAAATTAAAAATTTATTGAAAACGCGATTCATAAATTTTTAGAATAATAAATGCTTCAATTTAGCAAAAATCATTTATATTAGATAATTTGAATATTTCAATAAAAATTTAACATTTTTTAAATTATGAAAAATCCTGATTCCGATAAAAGTTGATTAATTTATTGGTATGTTAAATATTTAATATTAAATCAAGCCTAGCGATGTCAAGAACAATATGTTGGAAAACTTTTTCATAGTGAAGATTTCTTAAAATATATATCAATAATTGTTTATTAAATAAAAAAATTAAAAAAAAATTGTTTCCTAAGATAGTTCGATTATCTACACTTCAAGTGACTTGATTATAAATTTCTTAAGATTAACAAGAACCGTTTCTTAACTAACTCCCGTATTTAGAAGTTCAATTGGATAAAATATTACGCGTTTTTTTAATCAAAAAAATGATTCGTAATATCTTCACTAATAATTTCCTTCGTATATTCTAACATCCGAATCCTCTATTGTTCATTTTTTTAATATTATCGTATCAACTTATAGAATAACCATGACTTCTTATAGAAACAACGATAAATTCGATAAAGTATTGTAGCCCGACAAATTTTTTTACACCAAATTGTTGTTAAAATTTAAATTTTGATTATTCAAATATTAAAATCTATTTCTTTGGAAATATATTTATCAAAAAAAAACTAATTAGTACTGGATCCTTTTGAAAGTATATGTTCTTTTACTTACTATTATTTCCATCGAATTTTGTTCTTTTAATGCTTTCATCTATATCTTACGCAAAAAAAATTAAAAAATTGATTATATTGATTTATAATTACGAAATTAAGTGATTTAAACAGAAAATACTTATCGTACCATTATTTTCATCATCAAACTTTCTCTTACCTTTTAATAATATACAAAAAATTTTTAATTTTATTTTAATTACAACAAAGTGAAACTAATTATAACGAAGCCTTACCAATAATTACTCGACTTCTTGAACTTCCTGTAAACTCTGTAAACTCTGTAGATTTTGTCATAGCATGCATGACATCCGGATGATTTGTTGTTATGGGTCCGATGTCTGGTGAATTTATTATTTCAGTTGGATTCCTTTCTTCAATCAAAATGAATGACTTAAATGATACAAAAATATCTATTGTTGCTGGTCTTTGATTTGGATCTTGATGCCAACAATCTTTCATTAATTTGATTTAACCTTCAGGTGCATTTGTAACAATTGGAGGACGAAAACCATCACAAATTTTCATAATAAGTTCTGTATCATAATTTTGGTCCCAAAAAGGTCTTCTACCTGTCATTAATTCCCACATAATCATACCAAAGCTATATACGTCTGATGCTTTGGTATATTTCTTAAATTTTTGTCCTTGAAATATTTCCGGAGCAATAAAAGGAATAACTCCATAATACTCATTAACATTATCTGACGATTCAGTTGATAATTTACTAATTCCTAAATCACTTATAACTAAATCATACTCATTTTCATAAAGAATATTTCCAGTATGAAAATCTTGATGAAGAATATCTTGGGAGTGAAGAAATTCGAGTCCGTGTATAACATTTCGCAATATTTTCAACTTTTTATTCCATTCAACATTATAAAAGTTTTTCGCTATGTGATGTTTTAAATCAGATTTATAATATTTCATGATTATTATGAAATCTTTTGAAACCGGATCTTGAGTAATTTCATAATATATATTTAAGTAAAATAAAGAGTATATATAAATCCATCATTTAAATCAGCATTATAAATCATCATAATCTGGATTTATAAAAAATATATATCTTTAATGTAGATCTTAATGTTAAAAATTATTAAATTGAATTAAATACATTACCTCATTTAGTTCCTTAGAAGTAATGTTTTTGGAATTATTAAGCTGTTTTAAAGCAACTATTATATTAGAATCGTTATGCTCAAAAGTTTCATTTTCTTCATTCCAATAAGGAGGATCTATACTCCAAATAGCTTTATAAACTTTACTAAATTCTCCTTCACCAATAATTTCTATATTTTTAAATTGATGATATGGAATGAACTTCATTCTGCTAGATACTTGAACAAAATTAATTTGTGTATACTCTATAAATTCATCAATAATTTTATTTCCGCTTGGTTTATGAATTACGCAAACCTTGTTATTTTCTTTTAAAGTTCTTCTTTTCTTATGACAATTATTACATATATTATAAATCTCCTTTTCTGCTTCATCCATAAATCCCATGATTAGTACAAGTTTGGATATATGTGATATTTGTTGAAAATCTTTATCATTATTATTTACTAATTGTTGAAACCAATAAATAGCCATTTTTATGTTCTTTTCTATTTCTTTACCCTCATAATATAAAAAGGCAAGGTTATATTGTGCATTAGTATTTTCATTTTCTGCTACTTTTTGATACTAATAAAATGCCATTTCTAGATTTTTTTTTATTCCTTCACCTTCATAATATAATAATGCAAGGTTGTATTGTGCATTAATATTTTCATTTCTTGCTGCTTTTTAATACCAATAAAAGGCTTTTTCTAAATTTTTATTTATACCTTTACCTTCATAATATAATGATGCAAGATTATTTTGTGCCATAATATTTTCATTTATTGCTGCTTTTTGATACCAATAAAAGGCTTTTTCTAAACTTTTTTCTATTTCTTTATTTTGTTCATACAATAATGCAAGATTATATTGTGCTTTAATATGCCCATTTTCTGCTGCTTTTTGACACCAATAAAAGGATTTTTTTAAACTTTCTTCTGTTTCATCAAGATCATAATATAATAATGCAAGATTATATTGTGCATCTTTATTATTATTTTCTGCTGATTTAAGATACCAATATAAGGATTTGTCTAAGTCGTTCTTAATTTCTTTACCCTTATAATATAATGATGCAAGTTTGTTTTGTGCATTATTATTATTATTGTTTGCTGCTTTTTGATACCAATATAAAGCTTTATCCAAGTTTTGTTCTGATTCTTTACCATAATAATATATTAATGCTACATTATACTGTGCATCTTTATCATCACTTTCTGCTGCTTTTTGATACCAATAAAGTGATTTTTCTAAATTTTTTGCTATTCCTTCACCCTCATAATATAATAATACAAGGTTATATTGTGCATTAATGTTTCCATTTTCTGCTGCTTTTTGATACCAATAAAATACCTTTTCTAAATTTTTTTTTGTTGCTCCTTCATTATTATAATATAATATTGCAAGATCATATTGTGCGCTAACAATTCCACTTTCTGCGGCTTTTTGACACCAATAAAATGCTAATTTGTTGTTAATGTTGATTCCGAATCCTTCATTGTAACATCTACTTAAAAATATTTGTGCGATAGGATAATCATCCGCCGCTTTTAAAAAACATACAAATCCTTCACTATTATTTTCTTTTATACCGAGATTATAATAAAAAAAACCAAGGAGAAATGCATATTTCGATTCGGTTTGATTTCTTTTGAGCCAATTCAAAATTTCATCTGTTGATCGACCAGAAAGGATAATAAGGATAATGCATTTATTCATAGTTTGCCTTGTTTCATAAAAATCTTTACCTTCATCTTGTATTTTAATCAGAATCATGATTAGTTTGTCAATCAAAATATTAATGTTATCTGTTGAATTAAACTCTTGTGATATATGTAAGTCACATCCATGTTTTACTTCTGATTTTAACATGTTACTTGGCAAGAATTTTTTTTTAAAAAAAAAAAAAAAAAAAAAATATTAAGAAAATTTTCAAATCTCGATAAACTAAATCTTTTGTTTTATTTGTGTACAAATTTTTTAAAAATTTCTGTTAATCCGAATATACCAAGAGTTGGTTTGTAAATAGGAAGAAAAGTTTCAATTTTTAACAAAAGATCTTCCGAAAATATTTTCTTAAAATGGTTTTCAATGCAATGAATTCAAAAGAAGTTTCGGATGTGATACATATTACTAAATTTAGTTTACTTTTAGATTTTCAAAATGCGCCAAGTTTCTTTAAATACGCATCTATAAAAATTACTGTGACATCGCTGCATAAGATGTGATTTTCAGCATCATAAAAATTTCTTATTTCATCATTTTTTTGCAGAAAGATTTGTTATAACAAGGGGAAAATTTTGTAGAATAGTATTCTTAAAAGGGAAAGTATGCGAACAATGTATGAGTCAATCAATTTATTATCCATATTGATAAGAGTATGATAATAATGCCATAATGTCATCGTTTATACTCTTTATAAATTAAAAAACTGAATTATAGCTAGTTTAAGACTATGCCAAACAAGATATAAATTAAATGCCATTATTCCTTTGATAAAAAAATTACGTCATAAGGTTAAAATAATAATAAGAACAATAAATAAGCATATTTTTGAATTATTCCCATTAAAACTTATGTATTAATAACATTTAAGTAACGCTAGAAACTTATTGATAACATAAAATACCTCTTTTTTAAAAAAAAAATCCAAGTAAAAAATATTTTATTCAATAGAGATATGCATAAGAGTTATTTTATTGATATTGAATGGAAATTATTATATCTTTATTATAGGCAAATGTTTAGGATATTTATGAATAAAATAATAAAGTAATAAGTGGATTCTTATATGAAAGCTCGAATCATATATAAATTAGTATAATATAAAAAAAAGTCGATAATAAACTTTTATACCACACATAATTTTGATTTAATGAGTTAACTGATCACCCCAACGACCCAATGACGCATAGATAGATTTTCAATCACCGACGTATCGGTATACAAATATATAAAAATTAATTCGGTATTCCATATTTAAGCGCTCGTCTCTTACTCTAATCATAATGATACCTTTCAACCGAGCAAAACGTTATAAATTCACTTACAAGATCGCGGCTTGAAGGAGCTATAAAGTATATTTCTTGTTTAATTTCTCTAATGAAGATTTAGGTTATTTAAATCCAAGCTAGGGTATTTTTTGATTTGTATAAGTTTATATTATGTAGAAGCTGATTAACAATTTCAAATTTTTAGTGAAAAGATATTTGGTTGAATTATTGAAAATTATTTTGCGCAAATTCGCATATATTTATGGAATTTACACTAAACAAACAATTTTTAGTTCCAAAAATTGCCATTTTTCTATTTTAGTTGAACAATATCTATATTATCGTACAGCTAAAGCAGACCATGCTTAAAAGCTCTGAGATTGTTTCTAGTTAGTATTTTGTTAGATGGTTCATCACATCTAAAACTTTCTCTTTGAAAAGTATACAATTATTTCGTGATTTTGCTCTTACCAAATATAACGGATGCAAACTGCCTAAAATTTCAGCTAGCATAGGACTATATCATACCAAATTTTAGATTCAGTTTTTTGTTTTCAGATGCGTAGCCGTCTTTTCTTTACAGTCAATTTCGACTCGAGATACCTTTATTGTATTTCCTTAATTTCTTTTGTTATTATAAGGTAATTATCAAACAAATTTCGCGCGAAAATAATAATAAGGTTTATTTAAAAATATATTGTAAGTATTAATTTTCATTTTAAAATGAATACTTTCATTATCCAAGCAAATCTTAGTTTAAAAATTCTTCCGCGAGAGTATGTATTAAATACAAAGAACGTTTGAAGCTATTGATAATTTAATTATCCTATATTAAATGAAGCTTGCTTTATTCTAGATGTCAATTCTCAACTTTTAAAACGCAATTCCTTATAAAATAAATTTATCGGTATATCAAGTTTTTAATATTATATAGTAGAATATCGGTATATTGAGGTCCGATTATAATGGATTGGCGTTTTCGAAATTATTATATATCGCATCATAATACAACACATCGATGTTCCTTTATTAAATATCATTGTAACAATATGGCTTCATCAATTTTTAAAAAAAAATGACCAAGAATAATCTTTCTTTCTTAATGACCAAACGATCTTGTTACATTTATATTATATAGTTTATTATATTATTATATTATAGAAAAATATTATGTTACATGGACAATTTGTTTTTAAATAGCGATTTTTATATATAAACGAACATGAAAAAAATCATGTTTCTTATTTTTAGTAATTATTATGCGAAATCTTTATCTTACCAGAATAAGCAAAAAAAAAAACGGTTCGAATTTTGTCATTTTGCGATGCAATAATTACAGAAAATATTTAAAAATTATGCCTCAATAAAATATTCAAGAATTTTTCTTCATCAGATAATTATTGGTTTTGCCCTCGTTTCTTATCAAGATTGACAATGATCTATTTCTATCTCCAACGTATTCAACCGATTATAAAGGTAATGATCGTTTCTTTCCTACTATTGTTAATGATCGGGTATTTCCTAATAAGGCAGTGACTTTTTGGATATCCTTTGTTCTATATTTAGAAGGTCCTGTAAATTTATGCATCCCATGATTCAATAAAACAATCTAGATCCTCTATCCACATCTGTTGATGTGTTATCATTCTAAGATCTCTCAGTTCTTTTCACTTCCTTCTTCATGATTTCTTGCTCCTAATACGATACTTCCATCAACACACAAAAAAAGCCAGAATTTATTTATCAATGAGAAACCTTACGTCTCCTACACAAAAACTCCACGCTGCAAATTTCATCAAATAATCATATCCATGATCATTATAAATATCATCCACGTCTATACCTGTTATATCTTTGTCGTCCTCATCAACATCATTATCATCCTTAAATCTTTCAAAGCCATTTGATCAATAGTCATAATTCTCGAAAGGCCTTCATATTTAAGACTATCATTTTAATAAATCTGGCTTTATTCTTAAACTTGTTAACTTCGGATTCTAGTATCTTTATTATGTGAACATATAAAGTTTATTGAGAAATATAAATTCAGATCCTACTATACAAATTAAATTATTTAAATGATGATAATTTTAATATCTACTAACCTTCCTCTTAATATAATAGTCAAGTCTGCATATGTGGAATGTCTTCGAAAGAATTATATTTCGAATATGACCGTTGTCATCAAAACAAACCAAGTCCTTCTTTAAAGTATCACTTAGAATTATTTGTGACAACTTGACCGTAAAGTCTCGGTAGTTGTTGAATGGTCTTCTTCGTACCCCTATTATTTAAAAAAATAAGTTAATAAAATATTATAAATTCCTAAGGCAGATTAGCAACATAAAAAGTTCACGACGCGAATCCAGCTTGGCACCTTATGTGTTCCAGAAATCCACAGTTCAAGCTGTTCTTTATAAATTTGCGTCCTTACACGAATTGGTAATTCAGTATATCGGATGGACGTATTGTTAACTTGGTGGATTTTATCATTTGATCTTGTATGTATCTGTAATTGCTTACGTGCTCGATTTCACCCTGTGATGATAAATTGTGAGAAAAGTATTTTAATTTAAAGATTTAAAGGTCTGCTAAAGGATTATCATTAATAATGTCACCTGAAACCCACGATACCAGGGATGCATTGGAATTGAATCTTCATTGTTAATTAATCGTTTTAAATTGTTAACGATATCACGAGGATTGTAATTTGGAACTCCAACCTAATAATTATAAGATAAATCAATATATGTAAAATACTTAAAATGTCGGTTTTTTCTTAACTCACTTTCCTCATATCCATTAACAAGCAGACAATTCTAGTTCAACTAATCATTACAATATTTTAGTAATGGGGATGGAATATTTTGCGAGTCAATCCAGGGATTGCAAAGCTGATATAACGAGCTCTAGCTGCATCTTTTCCTCCTTGAGCTCTTGTACCAAACTTACCTTGCCATATTATTTGAACCAACAAAATCGTGAGCCATTGCGATGATTGCATCTCGAAGATTCACATCACCATGATGATATGCTTGCTTTTTCTATAACAGTCTCGGCTAAAGAAGAAACTTTAATTTCGATTTTAAGATTTTTTTAAAACAAGAGTACAATACTTTTCTCTGGTCACGGCGAGAACATTTGGAATTGAGCGTTGATTATCAACTCGACTAACAAAATCAACACACTTTATTTATAGTGATATCATGATTAATGTTGGTACCGAGCTAAAAGAATAAAATTTTTAGAATGTTTATTTCCGTTAGAAAGTTACAACTATATACTTCATAATTACTTGGCTTCTTAAAATCATTAGCTTTGTCTTTATTGGCCATATTGATCAACTCTTGTTGAATAGCTCCATAAGATTTTTTAACCTCGGAAGGCTCAGAAACTTCCAAAGATTTTGGAGCTACAAATTGTAGTACAATCCTTAGCAAATCTGATAGCGTTGTTTACTTCTTCCAATTTCGAAATAGCAATTATTATATTAAAAATATATCGGTCCAGTCTTTCTAATTAAATAGGCAATTATCTAGGACGTTTTTGCAGAATGATTAAGAAAATAATTAAGATTCAAATTTACTATAGTGTGAAAATACATTCGAATTAGTAAGAAATTAATTTAATTATATTAATAAAAGCATAATTACGAAAAATCTTCAATAGTAGTAAATTTTGCTATAACAGCAAACCCCAATGTAACATGAAACTTTTTTGATGAACGCAATCAAAAGTAATATACGAGATGGAATTAAGGTTCATATAAAATATTCATAATAAAAATGATTTTGTCATCACAAAAGACCGTCCCATACAACCTATCACCCTTGAAAAGGGCAGGTCGACCGCGTACATTTAACATGTAAGCAGGCAAAATGGGGTGTCTATTCTAGGAAATAAAGTTAAAAAAAGAACCTAATAAAAGTATTAACAAAAAAAATATATATATATATAGTTTAGTTAATATTATATATATAAACAAGTCAGCTGCAAATTTTTAGCTCCGGTTCACAGTTCGTTTCTCGCTGAAGTTTTCATCTCGGGTCTCTTTTTTTTCGAAGGCAATAAATATTGCATAAATTATCGAATGATGGATTATATTTCATATTTTAAAACAATTTCCCATTGTATGATATTAAGCAAAATGCTTCGTGGATTATGATAAAAAAATTTTTTTTTTCCGAAGGTATTCTCCTTTCGTCAAAAAATTCGTCAGATACAATAACTTTTCATTTTCTCATACCTGTAGAATATAATGAAAAGTAAAAAGAGATTAGAGGACAGTATCGAAAAGAGAAAAAACGAAAAATTAACAATAAAATAAAAACTACTAATATCAAAAATGGGTGTTCAAAGGTTTTGTTGCTTCCTCAAAGAAAGGCGTGTGAAAAGAGACCAACTCCTCGAAGGAATCTTTCACGTGTAAGGCAAACACTTCTAAGAGGATGGATAAGCAAATCCTAGGGAGCGTCTGTATCCAAGTACTAAACCGTCGCTCTTAGCTTAATACTAAGGATACCACCAGAAAATGCTTCTCCTTTAAAGCTAAAACTATTTACTAACCACATCCTTAACAAAAGCAGTTAATGAAGTAATGTGGGGTGAGTACACGATCAGAAGGACAAGAAACTAAAGGGAGTGATCACTATTTAACCCAAACAATGGCCCTTTACCACCTGCCCAAACATCGTTAAAGGAGAAACAAAGATACTTCCCAAAAATAATTGCCTTACTACAGGTATCCATATCCGCTACTAAGCACCTGAACTGTGAAAAGTTAACATTAAGAAACCTCTATCTGTCGCTAAATAACAAATCAACCTATATTTCGCGAATATTGTTGAGCTCGTAACCAGCTATTACAAAAAAATTCTTGTTAAAAGCGTGAAATGTTGGAGGAGCGCGTTTATAAAAACAAATTAGAAGCAAGTGTTTAAACTGCATAGTTCTGTCAAAAAGAGAAAGGAACGACCTCGTAAAAATAATTTTTTTTAGCACTGGGGTAATACTTAAAGTTTAGCAAAGATGGAATGGAGAATACGAGAGAAAGTGAAGGAGATGAAGAGTTGAAGAGTTGAAGAAGGGAAGAGGGGAAGAGGGGAAGAGGGGAAGAAGGGAAATATGCTTAAGAGTTTGAAAGTTATGATCCTTTTATAATGTAATAAAAGAAAAAAATGATGTAATATCTGATCAGTCTGTATAGATATTTTTAATCAATCCCATATTTATTATTTCTTAATTAAGCAAGTATTGAAAATTTATCCACCTCACCTGCAAGCATGTCTCGTGTTAGTTCGCTTAAATTTTCAAGAATTACTTTATTGAAACATATCTCATATCTGTCTGAAGATTCTTATCATACCAAATTTAGATGCATGATATTGCTATTGCATACTATACATAAATCAGAAAACGTGGATTTATGAAGTGAATACTTTTACAGTAGTGAAACACGAGCTTTTCGAATTAACATTACCTGTACCGTACTTAAAATGAATTAATTAAAAAATCTTTTTTTTTTTTTATGTTAGATTGTTAGATTTACAGTACAGAAATACATTATATATGATTCTATCTTTTTTTAAAAAAAAAAACATTTTAAGCCAGCAACGCTGCGAATTATATTGCTTATTATAACTACAACAGTAAATTATTAATTATCTAATAAATTTTTAGACTTATAAATTATTTCAACATAAAATTTTCTCCTATATTATCTCTCATCCCGTCCCAAAATTAATAAATACCGCATCCAACTCAACCTAAATCACGATTTCTTCTAAGGTGATAAAATAAATTCAACCAAATTTGTTTTTTATTATAAGAAAGTGTTACCTCCTATTAGGTAAGTTATAGATAGTTTTATAGTTTAGTATAGACAATAATAATGTAACGAAAATAGCATGTATATCGATTTTAACGAATAAAGCAATGAAGTTTTATTAAATAAAATAAAGGAAATAGTTTTATTATAAATGATAAAAGAATACAAATAAATGCACTAATACTGACTGCCTCTGCTGGCGCTCTGTAAGAGAAAAGATCTATCTAAAACTAAGATATTCAAATTCTATCATTCATCAAAGCGTTCTTAATAAAAAAATATTTTTTATATCAAAAAAAAAAAATTATCTTAATAAATCGAAGGAGGAAAATCAATACGAATCGTCTGATCAGTACAATACAAAATATGATCATACCGTACTGTACTGGTCTCAATAATATTATAGAACGAATATAATTTGAAAATTCATATTGATCGTACCATACTGAACAGCTGAACTGTATTATACTATACTCTAAATCATATGATCTGTACCTCAATTTTAATTGCACACCACCCATATATCTTTCATCTTGCCAAGGAAACGTTTCTTTGTTTAACTTATTGTTTCTCCTAAATTTTTTAATAAGCTTTGCGAACTTCCGTATGTGGAATCTGAATAAAACTCGTAATAAATCTTGTGAATGTTATGTTGATCTTTAGCAAAATAATAATTAAAAGAAAACTTAACATCTAAAATCTATATAAAACAAACCCTTAGGCTTATTACTTTGTAAATGCTATAAAAATATTGAAAATTTAAAAACTAAGTTATTCAACGAGAAAATATGGGAAACAGTCGGTAGAAAAGGGGGAATCTAAATTTTGGACCATATGACTGATCATATATACAAAATAATTATTTAAAATTTTTGGATTTCCCTTTTATCTATTCTATAAAATTGCAGATTAATTGATCATGTTACGAATTCTCTAAAATCAAACAATGATTTGTAAATTAGCTCCAAATTTTCTCTCGACACATCTCTTCATTATCTTCATTAAATAGTTTAGTTTAAAAAGGTGTTCTAATTAAACATTCATGCAGTAATTTTTGATTCAAAGATTTATAGATTTATATAATTTTTCATAATCAGCTAAATGTACCTTTTTTAAAAAAATAAATAAATGCAAAATTTGACCTTAATTAAAAATCTTTTAATGAAAAGGCTCTATATCTACATTTGAATTATAGTAAATAGTTAATAAAATACATTATTGAATTTTTCATATGAGCTTAATATAGTTATCCTACAACTTGTAAATCAATTAATGTAAATATAATTCTTTAATGTTTTTTAGATTTCTTTCCTAATAAGATAAGTAAAAATTATAATACAAATTTGACATTTTATAATTAACTTGTTAATTTAGTATTAAAAATCAATTTTTCAATATTAAATTTTAGAAATATTTTTTATTTTTCTTTTAAAACAAACAAGTTTTCCAAAAATTAAATAATTTATTACTATTAAAATTGTTAAACAAAATCTAGAGTTTAGACAAATGTCTAAAAGGTAAAGGTAACCTTGGTTAAATAATATTACAACCTTATTAAAAAATCTGCAAAATTCAATAAAAGATAAAATTATATCAAAGCTTATAAAAATGGTGAAATTATATATCAAAAACTTAGTAAAATTTAATGAAATTAAAGGTTTAGACACTTAGCCAAATTAAAAATAAGTCTAGTCAAGCAATCTTATCTATTATTTTAAGAATTATATAAGTAATGACAAGGAAATTCTATAGCAATAACTCATTTTTTTAATTTTTTTCCTTAATTAAAAATTGCAAATAGTAGGGAATTTCATTTACATTTAACTTATTGATCCACTATATTTATTGTAATGTAGTTTACAAGAATCAGTTATTTATAAAAATAAAATAAAAATAATTACTTGAAATGCATATATAAATAATTTGTTTTTATATAAAAAGAATATATTAATTAGTTATATTATAATCTGTATTAATAAAATTACTAAAAAAAAAAATAAGAAATTAAGAAATTATAAAAAATTAAGAAAGTTAAGATCTTAATGATGATTATGATCATAAATCATAAACTATGATTAGTGTAGTATTGTATAACGCATTTGGATTATTGCATCATATTTGGATTATTACTAATAACTTCCTTCTCTATTATTTAAACTTCTATAATAATACTAGCTTTTATATAAGTTATTAAATAATATTATAAATAATTAATACATTATTTTCCTATATAATTAAGTAAAAATAAATTCTTTCTTTATTTTTATACTATTTTAGTATTTTTCTTCATTTAACATTAAGTACATTAGACTGATAATTATAATTGATATGATTGATATGATTAAACATTTCATAATTTTATCATTATATATTTTAATACTAATCTGATTTTCATTCATGATATTCTATATTTTTTTCAAATTTGATTTTTAAGTAATTGATTATAAAAAAATTTGGATATAATTCTAAAATTAAAAATTTTGATTAATACTAATTAAAATGGATCCAAATAGGCTAAAAATATTGATGGATGGTTTATAGCTAATTTATAGCTAATTTATATTAATTCTAATTGACAAAATAGAAGTTAATCAAAATAATCAACTGGTCATCAATCAGTTATTAAAAATGACTTAAAAACTACCTAAACTTAATCATCAATCAATTTAAATTAGCTTAAAATTAAATTAAGTAAATTGAAATTAACAATAATAAATTTATATTTATTTAAATTTATTAATTTTATAATTTTATTATTTTTACATAATTATTAAATTTATTTTTTTAAAAAAAATAAGAAAAATAAAAGAATAATTAAATAATCTAATCCAAAAGTTTATCTTTGATTGAATTACATAACAATAAGATTTATTCATAAAAAATAAAGTAAAAAGAAGAAATAAGTTAAAAATTCTATATTAAAATTACCTTTAGTTGACTTATTATATTGTATTCTAAAGGAATAAAAAGAAAATAAAGAAAACAGTTAAAAAATCTATACAAATGTACTGTTGATTTACTATCTTAATTCCAAAATAATAATTTTCTTAAAAAAAAAGAAAAAAGAAAGAAAAATAATAAAAATTTATATGTAAAGTTATCTTAGATTCTCAGATTTACTTATTTAGATTCTAAGTTAATAATTTTCAAAAAAAAAATGATAAAAAAAGGAATATGATAAATTTTCATCTAAAAAATTATCTTTGATTTACTTACTTTAGTTATAAAATGATAAATTTCCTAAAAAAAAGAAAAAAAAAAGTAAATTTCACCCAAAAAGTCATTTTTGATTTACTTACCTTAATTATAACATGTAATTTTCCTAAAATAAAAAAAAGAAATATAGTAAATTTATATCTAAAGTGTCACTTCAATTTATTAATCTTAATTTCAAAATGTGAATTTCTTAAAAAATAAAGAAAAAAGGATTAAAAACTACTTAAAATTACCATTGAAAGGCTTATCTTAATATATTCCTAAAAAAGTAAAGAAAAAAAAGGTAAAAATCATTCAAAAATCACATCTGAAAGGTTTACCTTAGTTTTAAAGTGATAATTTCTCCAAAAAAAAATAATCAAAGAAAAAATTAGTAATAATTATTTTAAAGTCACATTTAAAATGCTTATATAGGAGCTTGTTAATAGAAAGAAGGAAAATCTAAAAAAAATATTTTTATGAATTAAAGTTAAATCTGAACTTATTTTACTAAAAAAATCATATTTAGCATATGAAGTAAAATTTTAATTTTTTTTAGATTTCCTCCTTTTCTATTAACAAGTTCTCATATTAGATTTGAAAAGAAAATTTCTTTAAAAAATATAAAGAAAAAAGTTAAAACAATTAAAAAATCATTTTTGATTTATTTATCTTAATTTCAAAATGAAAATTTATCCAAAAAAAAGAAATAAAAATATTTCTGTTTAAAAAGTCACTTTGATTTATTTTAACTTAATTTTAAAATAAAAATTTCTTAAAAAATAAGAAAAGATAAGGAAAATAATAAATTTCTGTCTAAAAAATCATTTTCCATTTACTTAATCTTAATTTAAAATAAGAAAAAAAGAATGTAAAAAAATGTTAAAATCCATATATGTAAATACATTATAAATGATTAAATTAATTCTAAAATAAGAAGAAAAAAAGATATAACAATTTACTAAAAAATTATCTCTTATTTAAAAAAAAAATTGAAAAAGAAAAAACTTTCTTCAGAAAAATCTGTAAGTTTATATTATAAATTAAAGATGAACATCATAATTAAGAAATTGCAACTTGGTTGCAACTCCTTGTAAATTTATTTTAATATAAAAATTCATAAATAGTTAAAAATTTTAAAAATAATTATGGGAACTATCTTTATTATAAACTAAACTAAAATTTTAATTATTTAAATATATCATCATAAATGATTTAAGCAGATAATTTGCATTATTTAATTGGAATAATTACAAAATCATTCAAAGAAATGATAATTTGAACACTTTGCAATAGAAAGATACAATACTTTAAAAAAATTAAAATTTTACTTTATAAGCTAAATATAATTTTTTTTATAAATTAAGTTGAGATTTAATATTAATTTAAAAAAAATTTTTTACAGTATTGTATCTTCCTATTATAAAGCTCCCATTTGATTATTTCTTAAGAATAATAATAAATTGTTAGAAAGGAATGATAATTTGATTGTTTCTTAAAATAATGATAAAATCATTTGAAAGGAAATAACAATTTGATTGTTCTTTAAAAATGATAATAAAATTATTCAAAATAAATGATAATTTGATTATTCCTTAAAAATAATAATGCATTTATTCTTTTAAAATGATATTTTGATTGTTTTTTTAAAAGATATTTTTGATTATTCTTTATGAAGATAAAGAAAATCATTCTAAAGAAATCATAATATATATTATATATTATTTCAAAACAATGATTTTCTTTATCATTCTTTTAATAAAAATATTATTCTAAAGAAATAATTATATATCATTTTAATAAAATAATAAGAAAAATCATTTTTAGAATGATAATGTATCATTCTAAAAAAAATGATAAAAAAATAATCATTCTTTAGAATAATAATGTATCATTTTATAAAAATAATAAAAAATACTATTCTTTTAAAATAATAATGTATTATTTAGAAAAAATGATAAAAAAAGACCATTCTTTTAAAATGATGATATATATTTCTTTGCTTCTAACCTTTGAGCTCTATTTACGAGTTTTTTTTTAAATGGTGAGCTTGTTTTGAAATTTGAAACATTTTTCTATTAAAATAACTGAAATCTTAATATTTTAATACTTTGTGTTGTTAACATTTAAGTACATTAAAACTTAGAATAATGAAATATCCATTTTTTGAAAAAGCTCTAAAGAGAATTTTTTTCCTATACAGCTGTGTTTAAAGTATTATTTTATAATTATAAAAATGATTTTTTTAAAAGAAAAGAAAGGTATTTCATAAAAGAGATAACTATTTGGAACTTTTTTGCAGAATTTGAAATGAAAATATTAAGAGATTCAAAGTTATTAAAAAGGGAAGATACATTAGTTAGAGACTTCTTATAAACTATAATAGCTATAGCTAAAATACTAGCTTAATGTAAAAAAAAACTCAATAATAAACTTTTATATGATGCTATATATAGTTTTGATTTAATTGATTGACAGCACACCCCAAGAGAAGGTGGTATGGATATGCCAAATTATCCCAAGGGGGGAGAAGGGACTCCAATTGCATCGGTGGAGGGGTTGTACCTGAAGGATGAGGTGATGGTAAGTCAAGTACCCCTGCCCTTAATGATGGAAACAGTCCTGAGACAGAAAACCTGAAGATAGATGGATAAAAGTGTGGTGGTATCGATAGTATGTATATATACTAGTCGAGTGAAGGGATCTATATGAGATTTACAGCTTGTAAATTACAAGAATATTTACTCCATATAAATAATTTTACGTTAAATTTGAATTACAAATTCAAATGGAAAAAAAATGTATGTAAATTTAATAAGAAGAAATTTTATTGATTTATATATGTATAAACTTTTTTATCTTTCTACATTTTCTCTATTTTTTCGTTTTCTCTATCTTTTTTTCTTTCTGAGAATTTTGAGGCCACCCGAGTTAATTCAACTCTAAGTTAACGGAAGGTGGGCGATTGCTTATTCTACTTTAATAAATAATCGTGCAATTTTAATTTATCATTCAGAGAGACCAAACAAGCTTCTTTAGAAAATAAAGTATTTTAACTCTCGCCACATAATGAAGATGATTAATACATAAACTGGTCTATGCATTACTTTTACATTATTTATTGAGAATTTTTTAAAAAAAAATGACTCTCATACTAATAATTTTTTTTTTTGATGGTATTTCAGAATGAACGATGGACGGTCACAAATGGTAGGTGCCGGATCCGGCAACTTCGCTAAAATAATGTTATCATTTTTAAACAAGAAATTTAAATTTGACTTTTATGAATTTTGAATGGATTTTTAATGGGTTTTATTTAATATGAGTTAAACAAGTTTTATTATAATTTTCGTATTAATTTATAAATTTTCATGATAATAATAGCCTTATCAGTAGATCAGACTAAACGGCGCGTTGGAATTATTCCATTTTTTTATTATCCTTCGCCGATGCTTGTAAGGGTTGTCCTATTGAGGTGATGCCTCTGCAAACTAAGCAGAGTCGATTCCGGACTGATCCAAATTTGAAACAGCGTCAAAACAGCGCGAAATCCTCAATTAAATAAAATTTCAAATTTTTAGCCGTATGGGTTAAATTCTGGAAAATCTTAAAAGATATTTTCAGCAAAGTTCAAATTCAATTCCATCATTTATTTATATACAGCAAGTAACTTTGATGCTATTTAATACCGCAAATTAATGACTGTTTTTTGTTTATCATCATAAATAAGTATGGTATTCATCAACCAATAGAAATGAAATGAGAGATTTGAATTTAACGCAATTTCTCCAAAATTAAGGAAGAGTGAGTGTCTTTATTAAGTTGGAATTATTTTACAAATTGCAATATATATATATATATTTATTTATTTATTTATTTATGTCTTCAATTTAGTGTCTTTTTATTATTATTAATTTATTTTTTTTAATGCAGAAGCTTTATATAATCTTTATTAAGTCACATATTTATACAAGTACAAAAGTAAAATAAGAAAATACAAAAATATCTATTTAGAATATAAATCAATACCAAGCTAGACTAAAATAAAATTTTATTAAAAAATCCAACTGTCCAGCACAAGGGGCAGGTTACTTCCTAACCAAAGATTTGACCAATAAGTAGGCGTAGTTGACAGAATTATTACAGAGTTATTAAAAGAAGAAGGTGAGATGGGTGTCGTTTGATTGAGGTGGAGATATGACCATAAACTATAATAGTCTTATAATCTGAGGAGATGTTTGACATTGTTTTCAAACTTTAAAAGATTCGTATCATTGAGTCCAAACGTTTCATATTTCTGAATAGATCATGATACATTGAAGAGAGCATTGCTTTGGTTTATGTGGTGTTCTTAACAATCTGATTGATAAGTGCAGTTGGATTAGAAGGAATTACTCCTTTGATAATGTCCATAAGTAATTTTGTAAGTGGTTCAAATACTAACAGCTTAGTTGATTTATTTGTTGGATTAAAACATCAATATTATTTTGTGATTTTAATTGGTGGAGATTGAGGAGAGAGAATTATGTATTTCAATAGCAAGCTGTATAAATTTTTATGATAATTTCAAATGTGATTCATCGATAAGTTCACAGTGTCTGTAAATATAGGTGGTGTCTTTTAGTAAGAACACTCATTGTTGATAGCAGTCCATCAGTAATCTATACTTGTTTTTCTGATAAGACAGTTTTGAAAGGTCGTAGTGCACGAAGAATCTCTGTTCAAATGTTGAGCGAAAGGTGAACTTGTATCGTTGCAGCACTTTATTATTGGATAAAGTCATAAGAGATATTTGGTGTTTCATTGATCTTATCCAAATACTTTGAACATTTTTTCATAAATTATCTTGTAATAGAAATTGATTATAAGGTTAAATGCTATTAAGATCATATGATTAAGTACAATACTAGCCCGAAAATACAATAGTATTCAAAGTTGTGCCCACACCTAAGAAGAATTTTTTATTGTAAATAATCATCATTGGCATTTCCTGTTAATAAAATTTGAATTAACTTCTGTTTGAAAAAAAATCTTTTTAAAGGGTTAGGATTTTGTTTTTTTTTAAAAAAAAGGACCATTTGTGAAATGATCATTTTTAAGAGGAACTGTTAAATTATTTTCTGAAATAAAAAACATTTCTGGCGAGGATTTGCGAACGTTTTGAGATATCAGACATACGTACAGTATCTAATTCAAATCTATCATTAATAATAGTAAATATAATTTTTTTTTTTAATGTTTTTTATGTTATGAATTGATCATATCCGAAAAAAAAAAAAAATTTTAAACTTCATATAATATATCACGTGAGCTTAAAGAAATAATCTTTCTTTACCATTTTGGAAGGTTAATTAATGTATTATGGATTACGTCATGTTTAATTTAAAAAACAATAATTAAGATCGGGTGACGGATCGTATTTAGATTTATACCGAAAAAAGTTTATTTTTCTCAACCAAATTTGGTGTTTATTCAACATCGGTGGACGAATAATTATTTATAACTTTTTTTGAAATAGCTGTATATACAATAAATACACTACCACTTTTTTTGTCTTAGTCGCGTAAAGTTTAATCGCGTAATGGTTTTTATATTCAATTTTCAGGCTATTTTTAACTTTTATTGATCTCATAATAAAAAAAAAAAAAAATTTTCGAATGTATACCCAATAGAATGTAAAGTGGATTCTAATTGAATAATACTTTGATATGAGTTAGAATTGTGATCCTCTCCGAATTTAAAAGATCTAGATAATAGTTTCAAAAAATTGTAATATATCGTCCTTGATAACACCATTCAATATTTATGGATTAAATGAAGGGTTAATGCAGCGGTTAAACATCAAAATATATAAAAACCAGTCATTTATATATTATGCATTTAAGGTATTTTTGTCTCGACTTTACGATCCAAAATCATTAATTGTATATTCCGTTGTCTATTTTGCTTCCCTGCTGTGAAGGGAAATAATGTATCACATTACGTTCCTTCTTGGAATTTCCCTTTCGGATTTAATCCTATTCCCTTTTCTTCTCGAAAATAGTAGTTCACAATAAATTGAATGAATCCATATTAAAAAACATTTCCAATTGTTTAAGGCTTTCTTTTGGAATTAAGAAAATATTTTCGTGGATACGTGAGGTTTAACCCATTTAGCTCAATTTTTTTATATGTACTTTATAATAAAGTATATGCCATCATTCCGATTTTTCATTATATAAAGTCACGTGATAATGAATTTTACTATAAAAAAGATCCATGAATTTTTGTAAAAATTGAGGCGGCCGGGTCACGAGAATCTAAAATTGTTTTTTGCCCGGCCTTACACGAACAATTTTACAGTAACACAAGATAATTTGCTTAAAGGTGAAGGATAAACGATATGAAACGGTTTTGCTAAACAATCCTTAATTTATTATTTTTATATATCGAAATTAAGAAATTCGAATTTCATTATTTCGATCAGTGTTTACAATAATATAGTGTAAAAAAAGCAATTTCCGTTTTGTAATATTCAAAATTGAACTAATGAATTTCTGACATTCATCGGACTTTCCAAATTTCAGTTCCAAATCATTTTAATTTCTCAAATGATTTTATCATCAAATCTAATAGAATAAATGAAACTAAAACATGTAATAGCGCTTATTTGAGACTTGACATGCTTGTAAATTGTGATTCTACTCTAGATAAATTGCTAATGCAATATTCTATATATATGTTGCTATTTTTTATAGTACAATGATATTATTGATAATGCTTTAAAACATTTGATTCTAATCAGACACTTCTCCTTCAGTGTCGGCTTTTTGTTGTGCATTGATGGCATCAACCAAATCAACAGTTGAATTCTCATTTGATTCCCCTTGTAATCTAATCCCTAAATTTACATTTTTTTAAAAAAAAGATCTTGTTTTAATCGGTTCCCTTACTAAACAAAATAAAAATAAAAATAAAAATAAAAAAAGAAATGAATATCGATCATTTACTTATTAAATCGGCGATGCTAGCCTGTGTGATCTTATCCAATTTGGATAATTTCTTTTCTACATCCCTCTTAAGATCCCAATTTGGTTTTTTGGGTGCTAAATTAAATAGATCCTAAAAATAAAGAAGATACTGCCTTAGGAATTACTCTATAACCTTCCATTAGATGATTCCCCATCAAAAGGTATTTACTTACAACTTCTTCCTCACGTTTCTTTTCTTCCTCCTCTTTAACCTGTTTTGTAACTTCTTCAACCGTTTTTTCCAAGGTTTCCGTTATATCCTTTGGTGTAGATATATTGATTTTTGATATGGCCTTTATATCCTCATTTATTGGTGTATAATTACGAAATTTCAATGATGGTCTGACAAAAAAAAATAAAAGATTGAAAATATATAAGAAATGAAAAGAATTATTTTTTTAAAAAAAATAAAAAAATAAAAACATACTTTTCATTATTACCATCCTCTTTGACTTCTTCTTTATTATTTTCAGGTTCAGATCCTAATTTACGTTTTTTTAGAGCCTCAAGACGTTCTTTACGTTGTTTTGATGCTTCTTCCATAATTCATCATTGAAAAAGCAAAGATTTTTACTACCAAATATATTAAATATGTTTTTTATGTCAGGTTACACGAACATTCGATATCATTTCATCACGTGATATAAATCTCATCTTAAACCCAAACATATAAAAAATGATTTTATCAATTTTCATATTATTTATTAATATCATTATCATTATCATTATCATTATATATGTATAAATGAAGACTTTCTAGTGTTCAAGAAAAAAAAAATCTAGTACAAAACAAAATCAAAAATTCAAGACAATTACACGAAAAACTATATACAATGGCCTTACAGCTTAAGATATTATACACCATTAAACCTATGATCTACCATTATAACCAAAATTATTATGTAACCCAATAGTATCGGGAGAATGTAATCTATCATTGGAATTTTTTGCCAAGTCATTTCTAGAACTTTCTAAATGATCTAAATATTCTGTTGTAACTCCCGTAATATAATTTCCATTAAATACCGAACAATCAAATGTTTTAATGCCAGGATTAAGTTTTTTACATGATGCCAATAAATCATCTAATTCCTTGATTGTAAAATAAGAGGAAAACACAAATTTAAATCAGAATTGCACAAACAATATACGAATAATAATACTCCTCAATCATTTTCGGAAAATTCTGCTCGTAGATAACTTACCTGATATATTACAATGTCAGCACCTATCTCTTTAGCAATTGAATCGTCATCACGATTATATGCTACAAGTTCTTGGCGGGATGGCATATCAATACCATAAACATTAGGATACCTATAAAAGATTTTAGATTAATATAACGAACCATATGCTACAAGAAAAGTATTTTAAAGTCATACCTAATAGGCGGAGCACAAGATGCGAAATAAACTTTCTTGGCGCCAGCGTCACGTGCCATCTGAACGATTTCTTTTGAAGTAGTTCCTCTAACGATTGAGTCTAATAATACGAAAGATGTTTTAAAATTATTAATCATTTCCTCAATTGGAACAACTCTCTATAAACCATTTCTTAATATACGCACCGTCAACTATAAGAACGTTCTTGCCGGAAAACTCTAATGCCATGGCATTTAATTTACGTCGAACATTTTGTTTTCTCATTTGTTGACCGGGCATAATAAATGTACGGCCAACATAACGATTTTTAATAAAGCCTTCTCTGTAAGGCAGTTTTAATTTATAAGATGCTTGTAATGCTGCTACACGACTAGTATCAGGAACCTAAATTAAGGGAAAAAAAAACCTTCACTTTAATTTCTTTTTTTTTTTTTTTAAAAAAAAAAAACTTTTGTTCCCCACAGTTCAATTAAAGAGAGCTTACCGGAATTATAACATCAATGTCCATATTTTTTCCACATTTTTTTACAACTTGATCAGCTAAATGTTCACCCATTTCTAATCTCGATCTATAAACCGATATCTTATCAATTACCGAATCGGGTCTCGCAAAATAAACAAATTCAAATATACATGGGGTAAAATTTATTGGCTCAACTAATTGTCTTTTTGTTATTGCTGTTTTTGTTATAATTATTGCTTCACCTAGTACATATAGAGAAGTGATTATTAAAAATTCGTTTTTTTGAAAAATTTTTATTTATAGAATGTATTCAAATACCTGGATTTATATCGGTAATTTCGGAAAAGCCTGATGCATCTAATACTACGCTTTCTGATGAAAACATATAATCAGTTCCTTTTGTATTTTCTCTTTTTCCATAACATATCGGTCTAATTCCATTTGAATCTCTAAATCCAATTATGCCAAAACCTAAAAAATATAAGTTAACAAGTCATTAAGATAAGTACCACCTTAAAAAAAACGTAAATTCAAACAAACCTGCAATCATTGCTACACATGCATATCCACCTATACATTGTTCAAAAATTCCTTTTATTGCTGTAAATATATCCTCCTCATTAATCCTAAACAATAATTTTTTTTTTTTAAAAAAAAAAAGGAAATTATTAAAATGAAACATAACTCTCGAGACTTCTTTGCAAGGTAATAATAACATACCTAAATTTATCTGTTGCTTGTAAATTATTTGCAAATATATTTAATAACAATTCTGAATCTGAATCTGTATTTATATGACGATGAGCCTTTAAATCCAAAAAACTTTTTAAATCTCGTGCATTAATTAAATTTCCATTCTATCATACATTAAAAAAGGTAATGACGCGT